CTCCAAGAGCATCTGGAAGAGAAGTGACATAGGCAACATCCCATACACACACACAGACTAGGCACTGAGGGATGCAAACAGGTACCAAAGTCACAGAACACAGGACTAGAAGGGATGTGAAGATGCCATCTTGCTCACCCCGGGCCAGATCACTACCTCCATCATCCAAAAGATGTTCACCTTGATCTGTTCTGAAGAACTCTGGAAAAAAATTCCATGGCCTCATTCTTCAATGTATCTCACTGCTTAATCCACACTGCAGTGAACGCAAGTTAAAGGTCTCCACAGAAAGCCTCAACAGTGGCCTGCAAGCACTGCGCTGTTGGCTGATCATCAGGGTGGGGAGGGGGAGAGAAATCAAAGCCTCTCCCTTTTGTATTTCAAGTAATTATTGTTAAGATTTCCCAGTGGATTTCTAATATCCTCAGCATTCGGACATTACCATTCTGACACGAAAGACTGGATACAGAAGCACAGCAGTTCTATGGAAAAAGCAGCAATGGGAAGCGAATTCGGGTACGCACAGCACCCTCCTGTCTTCACATCCCACTGCAGCAAGGCAGTTGCACAAGCCAGGATGGAAGAGAGCAAGGAACAGCTTGTAAGCCTTACCTGAGTAGAAGGCATGTCTTTAAATGGTACGTGTCCGTTTGCCAGTTCACAGGCTGTTATCCCTACGCTGTAAATGTCAGATTTTGCATCATAACCCTGGAGATTCTGGAACAAGAAGAAAAGGATGAGAAGGATTAGCCTCGTGGACCTCTATTTGATGGAACGTGGACAATGACTGTGATTCGATATGTAGAAGAGCAAACCTAACTGATTAGAGCAGAGAACTGTATCGCCCACATATAGATATTTATAGGGTGGGGTTGTTTTTTTTTTTTTGAGGTTGTTAAGGACGACAAGTTTTTTTTAACTGCAGTCAGCTGGCTAGTATGGATGTTGCCTGCCTTCTCCCAGAGAGGTGGAAAACAGGTAGTCGGCAACTAAGGCAACAAAGCAATTCCCTGCTCTGCAAAGATCTGGTTGAAACACTTTGGTCGGGGGGAAGCTGTAGAAGTAACTACTATTAAGCTATTTAATCAAATAGATTAGATCAAACAGAATTCTCCCCGCCTCCTCTGCCTTAAAGCTTGTTTTTTTCTAGCCTGGCCCCTTCATTCTCATGACATTTGCATACTTTCCTCTAGGAGGAGGGAAGTGTCACTGTTAAAACATGCGCTCCTCAAATGTTTGTTTTGCACCCATTGCCCCTTTTAACAGTTAGGAATGAAAGTCTCCCACTGCAAAGGGTCAATGATGATTTTAAGGTAAAAAGGACAGAATAAGATGCTCGAGAAAAAAAGCAACCCCGTGGCTGTTTTTGTATTTTTGAACATGCCAAAAAACCTCTGAAAAGCATACAGAGATACTCTATCGTTGAATGCTGGCAGTGGGTTTTTTTTTAAATAAAACAAAACAAAAAAAGCACACGCACCTGCTGCAAGACTTCAGGACTCAGCCAAGGTAGGACTTTGATGCTGTATTTGGGAAAGTCGTGAACAACTTTGAGCCGCTGCCCGTGGTTGATCATACTTAGATTACTTCGTAGGCCAGAGAGGTACACCTTCCCATCCACAGAGATCAGGATATGGCTGGCTTTCACACTCCTCAAGAAAAAGTAAAAACGGTCAGGCTCTCTGCCTTCAAAGGAGTTACGTTCCTTACAGCATGCCAGGGAGGCTATTAGCGCAAAAGAACACTACAAAGGATTTAAGGCAGACGCAGGTAAGGTGAAATTCTTTTACAATACACGTAGTAAGACTAGTGACCACCAATAACCTCAAATATTCAGCATTTGAAACTTACTTTCACTACAGGAGGACATATCAGAAAAGAGGAAAAAGATGTTAAGGGGATGGAGATAGTGATTCAGGAGGAGATTAAGAGAAGTGACAGTACTAAAGAGGAATTCATCCTTAGCGAGCACCTATGGAAAGCATAACAGACTACTCTGGTAGACAGCCCAGTACTCAGGACAACACGTAAGTCAGCCTCCTACTAGGACACCAAGATTCCTAACGGCCATCCTGAATGCTGTGCAAAACTACTACACAAATGTTACAGGACTCATTTCACCCACTTTGCATTTTCTCAAAAAAGGCTTCTGTGGCAAGGTGAAGTACAGGACTGAAGGTTATGGGCCCAGGACCTTCAGCAGTAACGGGGCAAATTCTCCCTCACTGACTGTCTCAACTCAGCATACATGTAGCATTTGAACAGAGCCATATGTTCAACATGAGCTGTCAACATGAGCTGCAGCTGTGATTTTCTTTCGGATAGATAGTGGTCTTCAGGGTGCAGAGATAAGTTTGTTTCACTCCGTTTAATAAGATCATTGATGTAATTTCCCATGAGTTTCAATCTGCTTGCTCTAACAACAAAGTTATACAGAACTTAATAATGCATTTTGTATCCCTTGAACTACCCATTCCGCTCTAATGATGAGTAGTATCTGTGAGAACTTCCAACAGAGAAAAAACGTTTTTTTGGGGGAAGTGGGGGATTTCTGTTTGTTCGTTTTGGGGTTGTTTACCTATGTACATAGCCCATATGGTGAATGTAGTCAAGCGCTTTCAATACACCTTGAAGGATATATGCAATAGCCAGTTCGTTCATCCCATCCATAAAATGGGTACAGATTAAATCTTTTGCAGAACCTAAAAGGAAACAAAAGACTTCTTAACCGGGCAGAAAAAACGAGGCTATTGCACCTCCTAAATAAACTTCATTTGACAGGACGTACTGCTCAGACAACAAAGCTATTCCTTCTCCACCTACCATAGGCCATGAAAGATGTCACTACCCATAGCTCGTTGTCAGCTATGAAAGTTGCTTTGTATGGCACAATGTTAGGGTGGTTGAAGAGCTTGGAAACATGAAGTTCTCCCTGAAAGCAAAAAAGGGTATTTGGAATCAGTTTAGTAAATGCAGAAGTATGGATATGATATTAATGAGCACTGCTCTGCTGTCTGTCCTCTCCTAAACTTGCACTGTGGTATCAGTGGATTAGCGTTACCTGCAAGAACGTGACCATTTCATTGGTACAGGCTTCCAGGTTAACTCTTCTGACTGTGACGTACTCCCCTGTGGGCTTATACTTGGCCAGATTCACAATCATCAAGTCTTCAAAGCCTTTGCCTGAAAGAGAGGCATTAAAGCATCAGGAGCATTTCTTTCTCAAAGTGATTTCAGAGCCAAAGAGAAAGAGGCATCTGATGTCAGAAAATTAGCAATCAGTCAAGAAAAGGCCAACGAAGCTGCAGAAATTATCTTCTCTGAAAAGCGGACTTCTGCTCACTGGGAACATTACCTATGATAGTGAGCAACTCATAGCAGGTGCTGTCTGGTAGAAAGTTGCTCATGGTGTCCCTTTTAGGGGAAGAGGCTATCGACTCGGAGCTCGCCTCATTTGTCTAGGGAAAAAAAAGAAATAAAGATCACATGCTAGAAAATTCACCTGCTCCATATATTGTCATACACACTCAAAATACTACAACAGTATTGAATTTAGAAGATGATTTTAAAATGATTTTTAAAGAGTTAAATATAAATTGAGGTCCAGGAGATGCCTCAGTTCAGAAGATCCAGACATCTGTGTTTTAAACATGTAATCACTTGCTGTAGGTTATCACTTGCTGTAAGCCAGAGTTTCTAAAGGAATATTCGGACAAAGCCAATTACCATTCTGCAGGACAGCTTAAGCACTGCTTTGTTATAATCATCTTTCTAGCATTATTTACCAGCTTCTGTGTCACCATCATCTTGCCTGAGCAAAAGCCATCAAATGAAAGCATGTTTATAGCACTTTTTCTGCACTTTGGCAATCAGCATCCCTGTCTGATGCTGGGGCTTCTGTTTTTCAGCTCCTCATCTGTGGTAAGACCAACACAGCTGAAGTTGTTTTGCTGAATGGTAGAAATGATGAACCAACTGAGCCCAAGATGCAAAGATCACACACACATGAAGAGAGAAGCTCCAAATGAAAGCAAGAACTTAGCTGCAAAGCATTAGTGCTTACAAAAATAAAACAAAACAAAAGACCCCACACCGCACAAAGGGAGCCGCACTCCCAACTCAGTCAGCTCCTCTTCACTGCGTCTGACATAAAGCTATCTGCTTTATTTACATATACAGAAGTCTTCCAAGCTGGAGTTTGCAGAAAAATCGTCAGTGTTCTTGCAAGTTTCACTACACCTTGCAACTCCTTCAACTTCCTACAGTTACAAGGAGTGCATCCTACAGGGGATCCAAATGTATCTGGCGTCTAGGATCAGATTTAGTTATCTCACATTTCCAGCACATTAACTCCTACTGACATTTGGAACCTCAGCTCATTTTTTCCACGTCATTCCTCATCAGCTGTAAATGCCCTTTACCAGACCTTTTTTCATGATAAATGAAGCAGAAAAGTCTTATGCACTTTCCCTCAGTGACAGTAAATCTGTATATGCTCTGAGGGAAACAACACAGTGATAGCTGAAAAACAAAGCACTGCTCTACGCTCAGTCTAGGCTCCTGTGACCACAGCAGGCATGAATTCACCACAAATTACCTTTGGTTCAGTTTTAGTATTCAGGCCCTAAAAAGCTTTCAACTGTCTCTAAATATACCTTGAGAGTAAGCTAACAATCAGGATTCCTATGTTCCAGCTTTTCAGCTGGCTTGGGACAGTGCACATTTTATCTCTCTCTGCCTACCTGTAAAACCCATCACTGAAAAATACATGTGAAAAGGCAAAACTTAGTTTTGTGGGCAGTGCTATGGTATTATTTCAGCTCAAACTCCTCCAGCACAGCAACTCAGCCACCCTCTGTTTCAGAATAACTAATCCCTGAGATCCCAGCAGTCTCAAATCCTTTATTCTAGTCATATTGCTACACAGCGCTGTTGCTTGGTTAAGAACAGGTAGCAACTTTCTATTCACATTCTCAGACTTCTATTAAAGATGCCTGTCAATTCTGACTTCAGTTGCATCATTCATTGCATTTTCCAGCAATTTCACATGGTCCTGTCAACAGCAAGATTGACAGGAGAGACACACACAGGCAGATGGAAACCTCTGAAGCAGAAAGGCACCACCAAGGAAATGAAAGCAGAAGGCTCTGATAAGCAGCGTTATGGAGCAATGACAGCTGGTGAAACACTGAGCAATATGTAAGTGATTATATGCTTTATTAAAAGTCTACTCCAGATTTAGCATAAGCCAACAAAACAGATGCAAAAAAATTAAACACATTTAATCTTATTATTACTGGTGTAGGCTGCTTCAAAAGCAACAGAAAAATACTTTAAATTCCTTTTTTTTTTTTTTTAAAAGTCTCACAATACATCAGAGATCTTCACTCACCTCTCTTCATGTTAGCAGCTACCAATAACTAAGAGTTAATGCAAAAGGAGCGCTACCAGAAATTTATCAACATCGTACAAGAGTTTAAACAAAAGTTAAACTGAAACGTCACTTATGAAATACTGCAAAAAAGCTCCTCAGTGGTTTCACACAGGACATATTTTGGTGTAGGGTCAAAAGCAAATGCGGCTGCAAAATGTAGTCACACATGACTAGCTTTATGGCATGACATTCATTAAAAGCTAGCTTTCAGGCTTGTTGATTGGATTTTAATTGGAAGTAGTTCGAAGGAAATTAATCTTTGAAAGATAACTACTGTTATAAATGCCATAAGAAAATCAGTTACGCGATGCCAGCAAGGATCTGCATTTGCCAAATCACATTCACTTATTCACTTGAATTAGGAGGGAATATTGTTTTTGTTCTACCGCCTTCCTCTCTGCCTCCTCATTCCCTCACTCAGTTTTAGCATGAGCAACAAAAATTTCCTTTCCCCCTAAAATTATTGACCTTTTCCTATAAGCATCCTGGGAAAAGTAAGCTTTTGTTTAGATGCAAAAATAAAAATAAGAATCAGCAATACTACTGTAAAGATCTCCAAAGACCCAAGTGAAAACCTTAACAAAAATAAAACAGCTCCTGCTCTCAATTTGTTCCCAGTCCAACCTATACACAAAGCTCAGCAATTTAAGAATGTTAATTTAGTGGACTTTATACAAAACAGGATGCATCTCAAATTTTTAGCTTAGTTTGTGCCATTAAATTATAGACGCTGACACAGCATCAATTATAAGCAGCTTGAGCTGAAACCATTATAATCAAATCGCATTTAATTCCTGATTGTAATTAATTTAAACCAATGCAACACCTGCACACCAAAGGGTTTCAGTATGGTATGGGCAGCTGGGAAATCATTTAGACAAATATATTTTGTCATAAGTTGCTATTCTATTAATGTATGTCATTAGGAACTAGCTAATGTGTAACCAGGGCCTGCAGAATAAAAAGCATCAGAAGTAAAAGTTCTCAGCTGCCCTGTTTTGGCTATGTTTTTGAATAGACATTCCACGTTCACAGGATGTTTTAGCCATTAAGAGGCACAACTCTCTAAGAATGCACAGAGCTGGCTCTGAAGACCACCAGGCAACAGGAGGTAAAGTCAACTTAAACTGAAAATTACATAATGTGTGGTTTTGATGTTGGAGTCTCTGTTGTGGGTGCTTTATAGGGAAGAGAAAGGAAACTAGAATCAACGCTTTCAGAAAGGAACACTGGGTTGAATGGCCAATATGACATTCTTTGGGCCTAGTTTTCAGACGCCCCCCCCCCAGGCTAACCCCTTCCATTTACTGTAGTGGATACTAAACGGAGATCCGCATCTCTGAAAAATCAGATCCAAGTCATGTCTAAAAAAGAGGCCATCAAAAATCAGTAACACTTTTGATAAAAGCACAAGTCCGAGAGATTAAATTTAAAGCTCTGACTTTTCACATGTAGTTTGAAAACCACACACCAAAATCTCCATTCCAGGGTGAAACCTGTTTCCACACTTGTAGAGCTAAATATACAGATGAAATATATAACTAAGGTAAAAAGAAAACTCAAACTTCCACAAGGAATAATCTCCATGCAATGAACCACAGCACCACAGCCTGCAAAAGTCACTTACTTTTCTCCGAGAGTCACCCGGAGGCTGCTCTGGAGTAAAGAAATTAATTGTTCACCATGTTGTGTTCAACAGATACCCATTAAAAATATAGTTGGAACATACTGATGAAAACTGAATCAATAACCTCACATGATACTTTTTGATACCAAACATACACAAATATATATTCTTAGACAAAGGCATGTAATTTACCGTTAAGGTTGCAACCTAAAAAAAAAAAATTAAGTTATAGTACAAGTATTGGAATTAGAGAGCTTCAAATAGCTCTACTGTTTATATATTCTTCAAGACAAATGTAAACTGAGAATTTTTTATTGTACCCCTAAGCCCATTCAAAAATGGCGTGTCTACGTGTCTTAAATACGGAAGAAACTATTTAAAGCTTATACATCAGGGAAAGTCTTTCCACTTCATCTGGAACCTCAAAATCTCAGTGCTGTCTTTCCTAAACTCTCTTATTACTGATCAAGGTTTCTGCGTTCTAGTGGACAATTTTTCTATTTACACACAGAGCAGAAGAGAAATCAATTTGCTCTCTTGCAGCCACACTAGGCAGCTGTTATCATAGTTTCAAAATCTATTTTTGCTTGCGAAATTACTATTAACTTTTCTAGACTTCAAACCTTTCTTTTGCATAGGAGAAAAAAGGTTATACTAAGAAATACAAATTACTGAGTCTGAAATTAGTACTACCATCAACTTGACATTGATTTCCTAGTAACTTCCTACATCTTGGCCATTTCCATATTAACTTGACTTGGTTAGCCAGTTTGAAGACTTGTGCTATAGCTGGATTTGTTCATCTCTTTCACAGTTAAGATACGTATTTATACCAAATTAACAGAGCTCAAGGCTAAAATAAGATATTTCTATCAATATCATCTAGCGAGAGGAAAACTTACCTCCAAACAGTTCGAATTCTCTTAAGCCCTCAACAATGAACTTTTCAGACACCCACCGCTAAAAGAAAAAAAAAAAAAGCCCCCCAAAATTAGTTATTTCCTCTAGAGACAAGCTGCTGCTCATTCACTCCCCCCACCCCCAAAACCAAAAGAGAATTGTGCTTATCACTTAAATGATTTTACTGTGGTCAGAAACTGATTAGCTGCAACATCAGTGCTACATCCTTACTTTGGACAAGGGTATTATCTTCTTGTACCGCTATGATGGCTTGCACCCAAGTATAGGTACAAGGCGTAGGTACACAAGTACTAGTGATTTGCTAGATAACATGACTGCGAGTAACGTTACGTAGTTCTAGATCATTCAAACAAAAACCTCTGTACGTGCACAAATACAAAAACCTTAGGCATGCTGCACTCCCTGAGGCAAATAAAGGTTGTTTGCTTGCATGTAATAGGTGTAAAAAACAAAAAACAAAAACATCTTAACTATTTATGAAGAAGATTACCTGTATTTTTGGACTATACTTATCTTTAATGGCTACATGCAAAATTAAAACATACATATTTATAATGCTGTCGGTCTCTTCCAGAATTCATGTTTAAAATTCAAAATAAGCATTCAGCTATGCAGAATAACGCATACATATATACATAGACACACATACAGAGAATGGAACATGCCAATTTAAGCTTAGAGAGCGTTGATCACAGTTAGCCTGAAATACACAGCCAGGAACGCGTGTATTAGCACCTGTCATCCCAATAAAACAATTTAATCAAACAGCTTATATCCTGTAGATCTACCTGCGAGCGAAGCCAGTCCTGGAAAGCGCTTGTCTTTAGGTGAACATGAACCAAAGCTCATACAGTGCAACATAACAACATCATTTTAAGGCATTAAAAGCGGTTTTCTGACGTGACGCTGTTTGCTTTGACACTTCGGAATTGAACAAAGTTGCTGCGTTTAGCTTCCCAAACTAAGTTTGGGAGAAATAAAACAGAAATCTGCAAGTAGGGCAGACGTAGCTGAGCGGAGCTTCTTAAACAAGGGTAAGAAAGAGTCGCTATTACCGCGCTTTGCCTTAACTGCGAACACGACTGGAAACACGCAGGAGGCAGGGAGGCAAATAATAAGTATTTAAGGTATTTAAGCTTTTTTTTTTTTTCTCCCAGCTAGCACCCCGCTCGCGCATCAACGCGCTGCCACGGAGCCGGCGTTTTTCACATCGCTGTGAAAGACTTCGCGGGACACCGGGGCCCGCCGGGAGGAGCGGGCCCTCGCGGGGCCCTCGCCCCCGGATACTCACGAGAAAAGACATGGGC